GTAAAGAGGGAGAGAGTTTATGTTTATGATAAACTATTCCATAGAGGAAGCGGAAGAGATAGAAAAAAAGGATATTTTTATATTTAACTAGGAGATAAGTTGAAGACGGATAATTTGACTAAAATAGATAGGAAAATCACATATGGTCACAAATTAATAATTTAAATAAAATGTTATAATCACATTTTGATAATTGTATCTTGTAGCTAATTATTTGTCAGTCACCACTCTCTCAAACTACGCTCGTCACTCTTCCTCTCTTGCTCGCTTCCCGTTGTTTTTATACAAATATAAATGTATAAAATGCATTTGTGTTTGTATAAAACGAGAGAAAATTGTATATATACATATGTTTTTGTTCCGCTCTCTTCCCTCTTCCACAACCTCGCTCACCATTCTCCTAGATCTTGCTTGTCGCCTTTGATTTTCTCGCTTATACAAACAAAAACGAAATATATAAATTGTGCTTCTATTTGTATAAAACGGGAGATAATTGTATATATACACATGCAAATACTTATATCTTCGTTTGATACACTTATAATTATACAATACAAATATTCTCTACCCAATTTCCTTTTGTGTTTCTCTCTTTCTCGTTTTATACATACATAAATTATACAATTGATCTTTTGTATGCAACTGTTTTCTTTTGTATATGTATAGCGAATTAGACAATTGGTTTCTTTGTATATGTATAACGATTTATATAACTGTTTTTTTTTATGTATAGCGAAATATACATATTTATTTTTGTTATAGCGCGCAATTATACAAAATATAGCTATAACATACTCTATTCGTTTCAGAAAAAATGACCTCATTTCCTTTTTAGTTTGTTTAAAAAATAATGACCCCTTTCTTTTTTTTAGCAAAATTTTAACTTTAACTTTCACGTGACATACTTAAGGCCACAAGATTAAATGACATTTTGATACATATGCCATAACTTTAATTTAGAATCACAAGATTAAAAATTCTTCTTTCTTTTTTTATACTTTGTTTCAAATCAAATTAAATCATTATTTTTTAAATGGAACGAGTATAAATATAATTGTTATATGTGAAAGTTACTCAATATAGATTTATGGTAAAATATTTCTACATTAAAATAAATAATTTTTACTTTTGCTTCCGAAAAAACTCAGATTTTTTTTTATACAATCAAACACCTTGAGTATTAAAAGAAAAAGAAAACTCTAAACCTCCGAGAAATTTGACAAGGAATAGAAAACAATTCATTACTTTTCACCATTGTTTCTGATCAGACGGATCTTAATATGCATAAAATCTTTTTTACATAAAAGTGACGTTTCCTGTTTCTACTAATCCAGCAATTATAGCTGGTTCCAATGGCTTAATTATACGTAGTCAAGATTGACCAGTTGAATATATTTTTCATATACATAAATAAAAATTTAAATATTCTTAGTGAAATTTCTGAATTTACTACCACCGAATGGTTCTATTACCTTGATTTAATCACATAAACTTTGGTAAAAATATTACTAAAAAATGTTTGGATATTGCAATTGAAGCCGGAAACTAACATTTAACAACCGATTCTTTTAATTCCAGAAAAATTGAATATGAAAGAGTTATTATTAAAAATTTGAAAATCTAAAAATTGATTTTGTGAATCTATGACCCCAAATCTCAAACAATGGACTCGATCTTTTAACATGCAATCTCAAACAAACTTCATCACACTTTGAAATTGGAATTCTAATATCCGAACAACAACTTAAACAAGAGCAATGAAATAAATATATTTGATTTTCTTTTTGTGATAGAGATGAACAAGGAAGAATAGCATTATTGAGAGGAAGGTATTTTCGTATGTTGGATGGCTTGGTGGACTGTCATGTCAACTAATGACAATAAGAATGTTTTAAGGATATTTGTAGTTCAAAATATAGACTGTACGGATAGTTTTGATCACAAACATAATTAAAAAAATATACCTGAGTTATTTCAAATAGTTTAAAGATAATATTGATATTTTTTAATTTATTATCACAAGTGTTAAATATGTAAGAAATATAACTTAATTAACTATGGTTTAAGTATTAACTTAATTTGTGTGAACTTAGCTTATATATGTACACACTTGATAATTTGAGAAATGTTTCCTAAGATCAGTTATAATTTTAGTAGAAAAACTAATTATACAGATCTTCCGTTAATGAATGAACTAGCGATATTGTTATATTTTATTTTCCTATTCAATATTAACTGATTTCGGGTTTTTTTTATTGTTTAAAATATATGAATTCTTCAACGTTTTGGATAAATGTTTAAATTTTTTCTTATTTTTACCTTTTAAATTTCGAAGTGATAAGTTCCAAAGAGTGAATTGTTTATACTTTCTCTATCCATCTTAACTTGTCTACTATACTGAAGATAGTTATTCAATAATATTTGTTCAATTTTGAAAATCAGGTTACCCATTTATCATGTTTTAACCATGCTTGATTAAATATTATTTGCTCAATCTATCTTTATTAATCACTTTACTATTTTGAGTGTTGAACAATACTTATTTGTCCAGTTTATAAAATCAAAAATAATTTATCATTTTGCATTTGTTTTATCTTTGATATTAAATATTACTATCATTTTTACTCTTATCATTTACTACTTTTTAATTCATGTGTCAAGTCAAAAGTGGATAATTATTGTTCAAAGAAGAGAGTGGTATTCATCACATAAGACATTACTCAAAACATCAAATTTCATCTATTCAAAAGGTAACTGAGTAATACTACTATTATTACTATCTCTGTCCCTAATTACATGTCAAATTTTTCATTCCTTTTTTAGTTTTTCCTAGTTACTTGTCTATTTTGACAAATTAAGAAAATAATTTTGCTTACCTATTATATCATCAATAAAATGAATAATTGCTTTGAAAAATGTAGAACTTTCCATCTACTTCATTATTAATAAGGTAAATCAGTAAACTCACTACATAATTAATTATTTTCTTAATAGGTGTATCAATTAAAAAATAAACAAGTAAAAAGGAACGAAGGAAGCATTATTTAAGGTGTGTCAAGTTAATAATGGACAACTATGTTGGATAGAACAAGTATTTATAATTTTACTTTGATTTATTTTTATTTTCAAGAATTGTTTGACAATAACTAAAAGGCAAAAAATGAAAAGTGATGTTCAATTTATGTCCTAATTCTTTTTTTAATAGTGTATTGCATCATAAATTCATTTACTAATATGGAATAGATGAAGTAATACAATTGTGCGAAAATGACAACAATAAGATGTGCATTATTAATTTCATGAATTTCTAATATTAGCAATACAATGCTCTTAATGCATATATTTGCCCCTCAAAATTCTTTTTTACTTATTTTCAATCGTAATAGTGAAGGACATTTTTAATTAATTTCTTTATGCATGTTATTTCTAATGCATTAAGTCAAACAAAGTAAAATAATAATTTATGTATAATTAATATAAATACATATATTGTTAATACAATTAGTACTTATATTACTCTTTTAACATTACCTCTCTACCAAATAGCTCCAAGAAAATTAATAAATGAATCATCAAACATCAGAGAGTAGGAAGGCTAGTCCTTCACCTGAGAAAACTGGTGCAACCTAGTGGTCAAAAGTAGATCAAAATTTATAAGATCACATATTTTAAATAAATTTCAATAAACACTATAGATATGCATTTGGTTTATATAGAAACGTAATAAGTACTCTATAAAGTTATACTAATCGTATATAAATTTGCCTCGACAATATAATTATAACAAATAATTATATATTATTTTCATTTCTTTTTACGAAAAATACTATAAATATACGTGTGTTCAAAGTTTAAAGACAAGTATTGACAATTGAGTCAAAAAATACAATCAACATATTAATGAAATTGGTCAGTATTTGTGTAAGATATAATTATAACACAGGTGTGTGAGCTGTGTGTTAAAATGACTAGTTATAGTTAATAGGGCATGGTTCCAACGCTGCCTTCCGAGTTCATGCGACCATTACAGTAAGCTAAATTTGGCTCTTTTTTTCTCTTCCAATGTGAAACCTACTTTGACTTCTTTATCATCAATTATTATCCTTTCAATTTTTTTTTTATAACAACACAACACAAATAGTAAAACGAAAAAAAATAATTTAAAATTATACATTACAATATCTATTAGCGATACACAAAATCTTGAAATTTCTACTACTAAATCTTGATAAACAGTGCAAGTCTAGTATATGACTTCCCAGTATTCTGTTTTTAACTTTCTTTGAAATTTTCGTTCATCTAATACGTTTTAAGTGTTTTTCAGCATATGAGATATTTATCATCTTCGATCACCAATAACTGTAAAGTTACTTTTTATATTTATACTAGAACAGATAAAAAAATCGCTTAATCTTTTTTTCTTGATTGAAAAACTTTAACATAATACCTCATGATTTTCAATTATTTCATTAAGCAACGAGGCCCACCTAAATGGCAGTTAGAATTATTTCACCCGCATAGTTTCTTCAAGGGATTAAAAACAGTAACGTAGATTTTTTTATAGGATTATAATAAGCTATGTAATAGTCTGTCTATCTAATAAAACATAGCTCAAAATTGACCATATCCCAAAAAAAGATCATGGTTAGTCACCAAAGCTAAAATGTTCACTTTTTAATTATTAATGTGTTTTTTCAAATTAACCTCACTCTGTCAATTTATTTTTATAGTTTTTTTACTGGTGGGTGAAAAAAAAAGAAAAAAAGTCACCATCTTTAGTCTTGTCATTTAGCTGAGAAGGCAGAGAGAGAAATAAAAGAGCAGATGAAGGGACTGATTCTGCTTATTAGTGCTTAGCCAAGAAACCTGCCATACAAAAACCACCAAATGCTCATTTTTAATAGGCTCTTTGGGATACGAGCTATAAAACTTGTAAATAGTGCTAATTATTACTTACTATTATTAATCATAAATAAAAACCAGAAGATTTCAAGCTGTGTTCTTCTCTAACAAGAGACAAATTTTTCATACTACTACCTCAGTTTTATCAGTTCAATATTTTACACAAAATTACTATTATCTTTCAAAATATACAAGATAAGTATTAGTACTAGTACGATTTTATTTTATTTTTTATTTTTTGAAAGAATTGTAGCTATATATCACACTATACACCATTAGTAAATTGGGATATATAGCAGCACTACTACTATTCTTCATCTTTCATTGGTAACAGTAATGCCCCAGTCTTAGTTTTTTGCAGGCGCCGTCCTCCCTTTTTTTCCTCTATCCCCTCAAACCCCATACCCTTTTTCTTCTCTTTCTACCAAAACAGTATTTTCTTTCTTTAACACAATTTCAAAATCCATTCTCCATATATACTCAAAGCAAAACAGAAGAGAAGAGAAGAGGAATATTATTATTCATATAACAACATGGTGGGGTCTATTAATTCTTTGATTTTATTCTCTCTAGTTCTATTCAACAAAGTGATTTTATATATGTATATATATAGGCTGATGGGTTTTTTTTTGTTTTGTAGTTGGACTACGCACAAAATCTTCCTCAGTGGCTTATTACACTTTTGACAGAGAAATTCTTCAATGCCTGTATAATTCATGAAGATGCTAAGAAAAATGAAAAGAATGTTTTCTGTTTGGACTGCTGTGAGGGTATCTGCCCTCATTGCCTGTCACCTCACCGTTCTCACCGCCTTTTGCAGGTCAATTCATTTTCATTGAATTATTACAACGATGATATATTCAGTGGTATTTCATTGAATTATGATGTTTAATTTCTTGACTTGCAGATTAGGAGGTATGTGTATCATGATGTCATAAGGCTTGGTGATGCTAATAAATTGCTAGACTGTGCTTTTGTTCAAGTGAGGATTTTTTTTGTCAAATTCTGTTGTTAATTATCTGATATGAGTAGTATAAAAGTTTTGTTTTCTTGCAGTCTTACACTACAAATAGTGCAAAAGTGGTATTTTTAAACCAAAGGCCACAAACAAGGGCTAGTAGAGGTTCTGGTAATTGTTGCATCATCTGTGACAGGGGACTTCAAGATCCATTTCTCTTTTGCTCCGTTTCCTGCAAGGTAAATTCATCATTCTTTTTAAATTACCAATTATGAGAGTAATTGAATTTCGTCACCGACCCATTTTTCATATACAAGTTTGTTCATCTGGGTTTGTCTTGGTTTTGTTGCAGGTTCAACACATACTGAAAACAGAGGGCAAACTTACGAAGTATATCTATAGGTGTGAGTACATGACACTGCCTGAACCGGGTTTAGACGATGGTCAAATGACTCCTGATACAATTCTTGAACCGATTGGTTCTGTCAGAACCGAGTCTGGTTCAAGTGGTAGCGGCGGAGCCGCCGAAGAGGTGGGTTGCCGGACGGTTGGATGCACGGCGACAACAGAGGTGGTAAGGAAGAAACGCAGTACCCTTTCGGCGTTCCGGTCTGTGTTTCAACCGGGTTGTGGACCGGGTTCTGGAATATCAGTTTCTATGCTGAACCGGAGGAAGGGTACGCCTCAGCGGTCTCCACTTTACTAATTTTATGTTTTCTTGGAAGAGTAAAATGGAAGTCGGGAGGGATATAATTGGAATTTGGATAAGTATAATTCAAGGGCAAATTAGGAAGAAAAAAAAAGTTTAACCTCCCAATTTTTGTAGAAATGGCTTTCTTTCTCTTTATTTATTATTGTTATCTGACATATTGGAAGCTAAATTTCTATCTGACAATAGAGAAATCAAGTGAATAGGAAGGAATTAGTATGAATGAGATTAATTACTGTAATAGTTATATACCTAATTTTTGGGGACATGTACTTGCTTTTGCTTCTATTGAATGCTTATTTTGTCGATTTAATTCAATGATTAGTCTTTCTTAGTACTGCTTTGTTCCTCCTAATTTGTTAATCCTTCCAAATTTATAGTTTATTTACAGCTTGCAAATATGATTATAGTTGTAATCATATTTGTTGAATTAGTAAATTTTGTCATTGTAATGTTTGATTAACTTGTTTATTAGGTGAGTTTATAGGTTTTGCATGTGCACGATTTGTACTACTTGTTTTACCCTACTCAAATGTTTGAATTATGTATGATTAGTTACATCGTAATAATAAATAGATCATTCATAATTATGCTTTTTACAAATAACTTTGCGTGTCATCCTAAGTTATAACACTATGATTCAAATCAATTGTCATTTTAGAAAATATCAAGACATATTGGTCTACATTCTTGTAGTTTTTAAGTAACATAGATTGAGTAGTTTAGCATACAAAATTAAATGGAGCTAATACCAATATTTTAATATTTTGATTGTTTAGGTTAATTTAATTTTTATTTATTGAAGAGAATTGATAGTATTACTCCCTTTGATCTAAAATATAAGTCTTTACTAACCTTAGCTAAAAAATTATTTCAAAATCATTATCTTAGAATTCTAGTAATATAAACAATAACTTAAGTGTAGAGTTGTTTAACACCCTTTAAGAAAAGTAAGTTAAGACATAAATTGAATATAATTTTTTATTTTTACTCCTTATTAATTATTATTAAAAATAATTTAATTATAATAACTAATTCCAATACTAAGTTAAAGGATAAAATTGAAAGTATTTTTAAATAGTGAAATCTTAAATTAATTTGAAAAATATAAAATGACTAGAAGGTTAAATTAATATGGAATGGAGGGAGTATGTTAACTATCCTCCTATTTTGATTTTCTTACTAATGTTTAATATTTAAAAACAATTATTAAATAGACATAAATTGTCACGATCTAATTTCTCGAGCCATGAAGGCACCTACTATAACCCATCAGTAGGTAAGCCAAACCACAACTCATTACGTGTTGTGGTTTAGCTTACCTACTGATGGGTTATAATAGGTGCCTTCATGGCTCGAGAAATTGGATCGTGACATAAATGAGAGAAAGTAGTTTGTAAACTACACATTATTTATTGGTTTTTATTAAATGATTAGTGAGTAAATATTTTTTTTAAAAGAACGTGTAATTAAAAAATTATGATAAAGTAGTAGCCCGGTGATAGTACATATTTCAGTTAATACCAAATTGAAATCTAATAACCAAAAAATATCTCCGACTCCACATTATCTGAATTTAAGAGGTAATGTAAACTATTAAAAAAATATTTAAGACCATATTTTAAAATACATTTTCTACTATTGTCTTTTGTGAAAAACATAATATATGTAATTTATTTCTTACAAAAATAACAAACTTCATTGAAGGAAATAAAAGATGTGAAAAAAATTCAAACATCTATCTTAGACTTTAAACAATTCAACTATTTTGAATAATGCAAAAGAAAAATCTATAAATTCACTTTATATAAAAAGAAAGAGTGTTATATTATGTATTCATTTTTATACATAGAAGTAAGAACCTAAAATAATATCATATTCAATATTAACAGTGCTGATTTTAAAATATAAATAATTCAACTCTAATCAACAACTAAACTATCCCTGATAAATACGGACAGAAAATCAAAATTTCCTCATATGCTAATAACTGGTAAAAAAAAAATAATGCAAAGTTATCTCGTCTGCGTTAATACAAAATTTATGAAAGAAAGACTATTGGAATTTATGATCTTAAAATAATTTAAGACATTCGTAACTCTATATATATTTTTTATTATCATAATAAGATAATTTTGAAATTAATTTTTTAATTTTTTTCCTAATTATAGAAAGAGTGATATTATTTTAAAATATGTAAGGATAAAAAATTGAATACAATTATTAAAAAGTTGATGAAAATAGAGTATTATAGTATATGGTCAATTCACACTTGTTACCACTTGAACTATGTTTAAATTTTTGTACTAAAATGGTTGTAGTGAGTAGGGACATTTTCATGTAAATCTACAAACACAATAATGACAAAACTTAGCTATAAATATTTATGTAAATGGATTTTCAACCACAAAATCTTTTTTTCTCTTCCCTAAATGTCTTAATCGTTTTTGAGAAGCCAAACTCTCTTCCGGAAATATTTTTACTTGTTTATAATTAGTTTAACATATATTAACTGGTATATAATTTTAGAGCAATTTTAAAAATAATAAATTTTATAATAATAATAGGAAAAAAGTTATATTTCTCTTGATATATTAAAGTGAATAAATAAAAATAAACGGATCATTAGTTTACAGGTCAATCTCTTGCTGCATTTTTCACACTGAACTGTGACCATTAGTCACAATATTTCCTATATATGGGCTGTCCTCAAAACTTGTTTACTCAATTATTATTTTATTTTTATAAAAAAATATGATGTTTGGATGAAGTTTTTTTAAGTAGAGATTTTAGTTTCGAGTTTTGTATAAATTTCTCCTTCGATTGGGTAATTTTTTTTTTTGAGTAGGTCCTACGCAATATGAATATAAGAAATAAATATTTATAATCAGTGATATCAATCATTGAGAAATAAATACTACCAATACTTAATAGCAAGGGAAAATAAATATAAAATGAAATTATCTTTTGTTTTCAAAATTATACAAGTAAAAGTAAAAGTGGACAAGGGAAGTATATCCCTAGTCCATTTATAATTGTTATAGTTTCTTTTTTAGAGTTAAAAGTATAAGAATTTTGATTAATATTTTACGACATATTTTTTCATTATATTGATATGTAAAAAATTACAATTTTTAATACTTTTCGTATAATTTTTGAATATGTAAAATTTCTTTTTTTTTAAAAAAAAGTTGAATTAATATAATCAAATTTAATTTTGAAAATTAGTCAATTGACATTTGAAAAACGTAACATGACAATTATAAGTGAACAAAGAAATGAGGATAAACTACAATTCCTCTCCTATATTTTACAATATCAATCAATGTTCAAGTAATTTGACGCTCAAGAAGAAAGAGGTAACAAGTAGTTTGGAACATAGGGAGTATTTGATGTATAAAATTGTTCATAGTTGAGCGTCCTCGTTAATATTTGCCTAATTGAATAAAATTTGCCTAGTTAAATAAAATTTGCTTAAATCTAGTATTGAGGTTTGTTCCCATTTTTTCAAAATTTGCTTAAATTCAGTTGAATTATGATCACAAATCCATCTACAAGAATGACAAAAGAGTATCTTTGATACCATCTATAACTATACAACCCCATGGTAATATTGTCTATTTTGAATCTAAATCCACACATATTAAAATGTGTTACCAAAATGTTAAATTTACTTATTCACATACTCTATATATTTTAATTGATATAAAACACTTATCCTAAATTAGGGCCGCACTCGAATTTGTGAAAAAATGTGTTACAACATATGAATTTGTACTAAATCTTGATAAATTCTTATCATCAAAAATTCCAATAGGTTTGCCAAAGACATTTTGTACAAGACTCTAGTAACTATCAATTATTATGACAAGACAAGTTTTTATGGTGATCTATCTTGAATTGAATTTCAATTTTAAAACGTAAAACTAATTTTGTAATTTTTATTTAAATGGTATCAAAATGAAAATTGAAACATCGAAATAGATTATTTGCATATAAATCTATAAATAAATGAGAGTAATATATACTCTTATGTTTATTAATCAAAATTTGAGTGTGATGATATGCAATATTTAGTTTGTTTAGTCGAAAAAAATTCAATTGCAACTAACCACAACGACGTGATAAATTCAAAAGCAATGGTGGGTGGTTTAGATATTGATGGAAATAAATGCAAAGGATCTTTGTGGTCTTTTCATTTGATCTTCTCTACATGTTTTTATTATTTCTCTCCATTTTTAGTTTTGCACACCGATAGAATAATTTTCTATTTTGAATAATGATTTGAAGAAGAATAATACATATTTCCTCTGTCTATTTTTTTTAATCTATTTCAAAATGAATGTCCCTTTTTTCTTTTTAACAACACTTTAATTTTAACTTTTCATGTATCGTGTTTAAGACCACAAAATTAATGAACATTTTATAACATTTGACATTACTTTAATTTAGAATCACAAAATTAAAAAGTTTTCTTTCTTTTCTTAAATTTCGTTTCAAGTCAAACTAGATCATCATTTTTGAAATGGAGAGAGTAAATACGCCTCTTAACTTAGCTTTTAACTAATATTTATATTTTTTTTACTTTGTGTACATAAGTGGACACTTACATTTATATAATATGGAATAGATATACACAAGCATCCTACATTACATCTTACATGACAATTTGTATCCTACATGGTGCCTAACGTGTATCATATCATTTAAGACTCGTGTATCTCCTTGTTCAAACTTATACATATTCAAAGTTGGAGCGCATAAACGTGAAGTGAAGTCAAATAAAAATATATATTTTTGTATTATACCTTTGAAGAATAAGCAATATCACAAGTAAAACATAAAAAAATTACGTTATATTAAACAAATAAAAGTGAACGAAGCTAGTATTTCTCCGGCTAGTTGGCTAAGAACTGTATCATTAGTTTATTTTGGTGACTGCTACACTTTTTTAACGAAAAAGTTGCATCATTTTACACTGATTGAACTCTCACTAAGTCACTTGTTTATGAAGCTGTCCCTAGTTATTAGTATGAGGTTCCATTATTAGAATTATTGAAGTCGTTATCTGTTCTTTCTTTTGTCGTCCAATAATTTGGTTTATTTTTCACTTATTGGGTTCATGAAACTTCACATTAATAATCCATATCAAAAGGACAAAAATAATACTCTCACCAGATAATGATAAAATCGACAATATTGAGATTTAATTTCAGAATTTTTATAGGTTCTAATATCATGTTGAAATATATGACCATTTCATCTAAACACTTAACATAAGCATTACAAATATCATATTTTTATTAGTTATTAATTAT